AACTGAGCCACCCAGGCGCCCCTTAAAAATAAAATCTTTAAAAAAATAAACAAACCTAGACTTGACTGTCCAGATCATTAAAAAGATCCGACCCGGCTCTGAAACATGAACCTTGACTCAGTGCCTCTGCCTCTACTGTGCCGGGAGGGTGTGGAGCAAGTGGTCAGGCTCCAGAACGAGACTGGCTTCAAATCTTAATGCCAACACTTCCGGGGCAAAATCCTGGCAACAAACGTGACCCCTCTCTAAGCCTGTTTCCTTATTCTATAAAGTAGAGACAACTACTCACTATTGGGAGGTTGGGACGTTAGGGAGAATGGATGCACATCAAGGGGGCAGCAGCCCCCCAGGAGTCAGTGCCCACCTCTAGTCGGGTGTGTTGCACGCACATGGGCTGGGTGTTCATGTTAAGTGTCTCACACACATTACCACGTTCTCATCAGAGCCTCCTTTCCTCCAAGAAACCACAGTGACAAAGGATAAACCGTCTAGCCTAGAGCCTGCAGCTAGTGAAAGGCGGTCAGAACTTGATCCAGGCCTTTCTTTTTCTTTTTTTTTTTAAGATTTTATTTACTTGAGAGGGAGAAGGAGAAGCAGACTCACCGCTGAGCAGAGAGCCTGATGTTGGGCTCGATCCCAGGACCCCAAGATCATGACCTGAGCTGAAGGCAGACTCCTAACTGGCTGAACCACCCAGGCACCCCGAATCCAGGCCTTTCTGACTCCAGCACATGCCCTCCTAATCATGTCGCTGCCTCCAGGCCCTCTGAAGACCCCTGAGTCATTTCTGGGGGCCATCCGGAGTGCCCCATCAGGGGCCCTGCTGCCCTATGCCCACAGTGTGGGCCCACTCTCACTACAGACCTTCAGCCTCTCGTTCTCTAGCTTGAACGCGGAATACTCGGCTGTCTGCCGGTGTAATCTCTCCACCAGGCTGTCCCGATCTTCCCGCATCTTCTCCTCCAACGTTTGTTGTTGGTTTACGAGATCTGTCACCCGGCTAGAATGTCGCAGACAGAAAGCAGACAAAGAGAAGCCTTACATGGGTTCTGAGAAGCCAGGTCTTTGTGTGGAGTGGGGCCAAGTGTTCCTCCCCAGGGCCACCTCTTGGTGTCCTGTCTGCTCCCCATTCTCCACTCTACTCCACTGCCCCGCTCTGCCCTGGCGCGTTCCCACATACCCCCTTCTCTTCTATCAGCCTTTAGATTTGTCTCCCATACCCCCCCTTCCAGAAGCCTTCTGTGTTCTGATCCTCCCATGAAGCCAAGACACGCCCTGAAGACAAGAACCAGAGATGGGGTCCCTTCCCAACTCTCCATGATCCCCCTTGGATCTCTTAGCCCAGCAGGTCTTCAAGTTAGGACAGAACTCCCAGGCTGGGTGGTCAGGGACACCCCCAGACATCCCTCTCCCTTGTTCACACGTGTGAATGCATACAGCACAAAGGGAAAGAAATCATGTGCTCACGTGCCCTGACCCCCTTCCCCTCCCCCCATCACTCAGCAGGCTGTAGTCCAGCAACAGAGACCGTGGCCTCACAGCAGCATTCGGGCTCGCAGATGCTTATCTTGACCACAGGCCCAAAACAGAACCTTGACATAGTGTGTGCTCTCAGGAATGATCAGTTACAGTTCATTCAGCAAATACGTGCTAAGCACAGAGTAGGCCCAAGCAAACACATCATGTTGGTTTCGCCGGCAAATTCCTCCTCACCCTTAGAAACCCAGTTGAGACTTCCCTCCTCAGAGCCTCTCTTCCCCAATCCCCCTCCTCTGTACCATGTACCCTTCTACCCTCATTATCTGTTTTCTCCTACCAGAGAACCCTGGGAAGGTAGCACCTGGCAGAGGGCCCAACACATAGCAGGTTCTCCGAATGTTTGCTAAATTGAGTTGAATCCAGCAAAAGACACTTCCTCAGCTAGCAACCCTGTGACCGGTCCAGAACCCTGGGAGTCCGGGTCTCTGTAGCCTGGTGTTTTCTACTAGAGCACAGGGTTCACTCCATGAGGGCAGGGAATGCATCTGTCTTGTCTCTGTGGTGACCCTAAAGGCCAGCACACAGCCTGGTATAGAGCAGATGCTCAATAAATATTTTTCAGATGAATGAATACATGATTATAGGTGACACTGAGAATGTCTGAATGGTCACTGGTCCCCAGTGGCGAGAAAGGTGTGAGTTCAGTCCCCTACCACTTGAGACCACTTTTGCCCCCTACTCTGACCTACCGAATGCTGGGCAAAACAGCTGCTATCACCGGGCAGACAACAGAGAGAAGAGAGGGCCATTTCCAGCAGCTCCCAGCCCTCTGTGAGCAGAGAAGCCGGGCCCCTCCACAGTGCAGTCCCTGACGGGCAAGACCACACAGCAGCCATGAGGGCGCTGGGCCCCACCTCACGTTGCCAGGCCCCTTCCACCTGTGTACCCGCTTCCCTCCCTCAGCTCACATGCCCTCTCCTAACACACGTACTCGTTCAGGACGATAATTTCCAGCTCGAGGTCTCCCTTGTCTTTCACAACTTGATTATAGCGGCTCCTCCATGATTCCAGAGTGGATAAAGCTTCAGCGACATAAAGATCCTGGGAACATGGGACAACAGTGCCTGTCAGCCCGGTGACAGTGCTGAGGCTGAGGGAGCTGGATGCTGGGCTCACCCTGGATGGTTCCTCACCCCCACAGTCCAACGGTGACCGAACCCAGCTGTAGCTTCTAGATTTCCAGCAACCACACATGCGCTTTACTTGCACGTCCTTCCTTGACCACCATTCCCACGTACGATATTGACGCAGGCTCAACTGTCCCCTCCAGCGTCTCCAGCCAGCCGCCCACCCTGCTTTCACCCTTTTACCCCTTTACTCACCCACTGCCTCCCCTTCCCCCAGCACAGTCACCCTTTCCACCATCAGCATCCCTCTGATCATAGCCCAGCCAGCGCTGCCAGCCTCCACCCCCGGTCGCCCTCAGGGAAGGCCCCCCACCTTGTCAGCAAGTTGCACGTGCAGCTGCTCAGCATACTCCTCACTCTTCTCAGCTCGTTCCTTCTGGGCTCGGATGGCCTTCTTTAAGGTTTCTTTGTCTCGGTCTCCCTTTTGCTTTAATTCCTTCAACTGCTCCATGATGGCCTCCACTTCTGCCTTGTGCTGGTTCCCACTGCGCTCCAGGTTCTGGGAGGGGAGGGCCAAAAGCAGGTGGGGGGGTGGAGAGAGACAAGAGTGAAGAGGAGAGAGGGGAAAGGGGACCAGCAGGAAGAAGGGGTAAAGAAGAGGGAGAAAGAAAATGGGTCACCAACTGTGTGGGGGCTCAGAGCTCTCCGAATGCAGGCCAGGGACAGGGGCCATTCCCAGCGCCCCATGGCACCTCTCCAGATCGCTGAACCCACTGGGTCTGAATGTTAGGACAGTACTCTCTTTTCGAATTCTTGCTTCAACTCCCAGTACTGTGGTCCGAAGTATCTCTCAGTCACTCAGCAGAGCCGTGACCTCAGAGGTTCCCTGGCTCGCCCGGGCAAGCAGCATTTGAGACCACTCCCTCCCCAGGGGGGTGGGGGGGGAGTTACAAGACCCGAGGGCCTAAGGGATTAAGTGATTGGCTGGGTCAAGGCACCAAACCCGGTCACTGCAGGGAAGGGCACCCAGGGCCTCCAGGGTCCACTGCTCTTGCCACTGTCCCACAGTCTCTCTGAAGCAGAAGGGCATTGGCAGCAAGCACCCCATAAACCGTCGGGGCAAAGCCTTCCTGAGTGTGGCTCACCGCCCTGGACTGCCACACCCCGGCCCCTCCTTCCCCACCTGCAGCGCCGGCAGGTACCTTGATCTGCATGCACAGGCGACTGTTCTCTGCCTCTTTGCACCGGAGCTGTGCCTGCAAATGCCCACGCATGGACTCCATGGATTTAGAAAGCTCGGACGCTGTCTTTGCTTGAGCCTTTGGAGAGATGGACAAAGCGACAGAGCCAGCATGTGAATGCATGTTTCCAGTTCCAGTGCACACTCTACACACGAAGCTCTACTAGCTCGTAAGGAGGAACTGTAAGGGATGGTACCTTCTCACATTGTATTTCCTGGAGTAGCTCTTCTACCTCCTTGTCTTTGTCTTGCAGGAGTAACAGCAGGCGCTAGAGAGAACACACACGGTCATGAACTCCCGGGAAAGGGCAAAGAAGCAGGGCCCGGGGCGGGGGGGGGCGGACAGCCACTCCTGTGAGTGCCTGGCCACCAGGGCCCAAGGTCCAGAATACACCAGCCCATGTCACAGAGATCCTGACAGGAAGCACCCAACATCTGTATTAAATATTTAAGACGACAGACAGGTATTGATCTTGCAATTTAAAATAATGTGAGGGGCGCCTGGGTGGCTCAGTCGGTTAAGTGTCCGACTCCTGATTTCAGCTCAGGTCTTAATCTCAGGGTCGTGAGTTCAAGCCCTGTGTTGGGCTCCATGCCATGGAGACTACTTAAAAAATAATAATAATTAAAAAATAAATAAATAGGGGTGCCTGGGTGACTCAGTCAGTTAAGTGTCTGACTCTTGCTTTCAGCTCAGGTCATGACCTCACGGTTGTGGAAATGAACCCCTCAGCAGGCTCCGTACTCTGCGGGGTGTCGGCTTCAAGATTCTCTCCCTCTGCCCCTCCTCCAACTCACACATGCGCTCTCACTCTCTCCAGTAAATAAATGTTAAAAATAAATAAATAAAATAATGTTAGCTGTGGAAAACAATGAAAAACAAAAAAATGCTAAAGAATCCCCATAATAAAAAAAAAAGAATCCCCATAGTCCCCCAGCCAAAAGAACCACTGTTAAAACACATTAAAAAGTCTTATGCGTATGTTGTTCCATATGTACAATCCCACATTTACCGTAATGTGATTATATCTTCTACTTCTTTTGAAACAGCAGCTTACAGTTTCAATTTACTGGTGTATCATGATTTGATTCCTAGCCTTTCAAGCTGGGGATACAGATTTAGGCATTATACCCTTCATTGCCAAATCTCCCACTGTGGTATTCGGAGAGGCACTAAGAGCCAAGGGCCACACCTTGGGAAATGTGGCCTCCATCTTCCTTCTCTCTTGGAGACTCACGTGGGCATTAATACCTCAAGTGCTCCAAAAGGTTTTGGAGTTAACCCAGTGAACTTTTTGTACAGGCCAGCCAGTCATTTCCCAATTTATCTGGCCTCGCGTCACTCCCTTCTTTTGTTTCTGGCACCCATTAACATCGTGAGGAACTTAGGGTTCCATGAACCAGACTTCGGAGTGTGCTGCCTTGGGAGAGATTCCTAGAACTGGAATTGCTGAGTAAAAAGTCTGAACCTTTTGATGGCTTTTAATCCATAATACAAATAAGGCCATTCAAGTAACAGACTCTGATAGTTAATAAACCCAGCAGCAGCGGCAATATCCCTCATGTTGTGTTCAAGCTCCCAAGTGATCAACTAGACAAAGCCAGTGGAGCAGGCAGGATAGGGGACATCGGCCCATCTTATAGATCATGATATTAAGACCCAAACAAACGTCAGAGCGAGGCGCCGGCGCGGCGGCACTGGGCCAGCCGCTCTGTGTACTGTCGCCCGTAAACCACTAGAGCCGGCAGGGGGCGCTGTGTTACCGCTTTCTCTGAGTCCGCCTCCGCCAGCCGTTTGAGTAGTGCTCCTTGTTGCTCCATCAGCTTTTCCGAATCCTTCAAGGAAAGGCACAGCGAGAGCCAAGTGGTTAAGCAATGAACCCAGATGTCTACATCCCTTCTGGATTCTCTTCCTTTTCCAAAATTTGTATTTCCAATTATAAGAGTCATAAATAAATTACAATCTCATTATAAAATATTCAGTGAACCAGTAATGCTAAAGTCCCCTCATCCACCTCCAAACCCCATTCCACTGTTTAGTTTGATGAATGTCCTGCCCACCCTTTCTCTATGCATTTATATATAGCCATACCTAGAGAAACAGTATCTTTTGGGGGCTGGGGGCTGGGGGGAAGGATCTATGGGTGGTTTTACCAAAACGGTTAACATATTATGTTTTTGTGCTACTACTTGATTTTTAAATTTTTTTTTTAAAGATTTTATTTATTTGTGAGAAAGAGCGAGCACAAGCAGGGTGAAGGGCAGAGGGAGAAGCAGACTCCCCGCCGAGTGGGGAGCCTGACGCAGGGCTTGGTCAGGACCATGCTAAAGGCAGATGTTCAATCGACTAAGCCACCCAGGCGCCCCGACGACTTGATTTTTTTCTTAAGTTTTTTTTTTTAAAAGATTTTATTTATTTATTTGACAGAGAGATAGAGAGCACAAGTAGGCAGAGCAGCAGGCAGAGGGAGACGGAGAAGCAGGCTCTCCGCTGACCAGGGAGCCCGATGCGGGGCTCGATCCCAGGACCCCAGGACCCTGACCTGAGCCGAAGGCGGATGCTTAACCGACTGAGCCACCCAGGCACCCCCGGATTACTTGATTTTTTAAAAACAGCTCAATTGAGAAGCACCTGGCTGGCTCAGGGGGTGGAGTGAATGACTCTTGAGATTACTTAAAAATTTAAAAAAACCTCGGGGCGCCTGGGTAGCTCAGTCATTAAGCATCTGCCTTCAGCTTGGGTCATGGTCCCAGGGTCCTGGGATCAAGCCCTGCATTGGGCTCCCTGCTCGGCAGGAAGCCTGCTTCTCCCTCTCCCACTCCCACTCCCCCTGCTTGTGTTCCTGGTCTCGCTATCTCTTCTGTCAAATAAATAAATAAAATCTTAAAAAACAAATAAGTGAATGAATGAATAAAATCTTTAAAAAACAAAAACAAACAAACAAACCGGGGCACCTGGGTGGCTCAGTCACTAAGCGTCTGCCTTCGGCTCAGGTCATGATCCCAGGGTCCTAGGATCAAGCCCAGCATCGGGCTCCCTGCTCAGCAGGAAGGCTGCTTCTCCCTCTCCGCCTCTCCCCCTGCTTGTGTTCCCTCTCTCTCACTGTGTCTCTGTCAAATAAATAAATAAAATCTTTAAAAACAAACAAACAGGGGGCGCCTGGGTGGCTCAGTTGGTTAAGCGACTGCCTTCGGCTCAGGTCATGATCCTGGAGTCCTGGCATCGAATCCCGCATCAGGCTCCCTGCTCGGCAGGGAGTCTGCTCCTCCCTCTGATCCTCCCCCATCTCATGCTCTCTCTCTCTGTCTCATTCTCTCTCTCAAATAAATAAATAAAATCTTTTAAAAAAAAATAAATAAATACAAACAAACAAACAAACAAACAGGGATGCCTGGGTGGCTCAGTCGTTAAGCGGCTGCCTTCGGCTCGGGTCATGGTCCCGGAGTCCTGGGATCGAGCCCTGCATCGGGCTCCTTGCAGGGAGCCTGCTTTTCCCTCTGCCAGCTGCTCCCCCTGCTTGTTCTCTCTCTCTCTCTCTGACAAAAAAATAAATAAAACCAAAAAAAAAACCCAAACCTTTATTGAGATGAAAATTCAGATACCATCACAAATCACCCATTTAAAATGCACAACTCAATGGTTTTTGGCATATTGCATTATTAATTTAATTGTGGTTAAACATTCATAACATAAACCTTGCCAGGGGCGCCTGGGTGGCTCAGTCGTTAGGCTTCTGCCTTCGGCTCAGGTTCCTGGGATTGAGCCCCACACTGGGCTCCCTGCTCAGCAGGGAGTCTGCCTCTCCCTCTGCCCTTCCCCCCCCCCCAACTTGTGCTTGCACGTTCTCTCTCTCAAATAAATAAAATCTTAAAAAACAAAACATAAACCTTGCCATTTTTACCATTTTTTAAGTGTAAAATTCAGTGGCATATAGTACGTTCACAATGTTCTGCAACCATCACTCCTCGCTAAGTCCAGAACATTTTCATCATCCCACAGGAAAGCCTGTACCTGTTGAAGTAATCTCTTTGTCCCTCTCCCCCAGCCCCCAGCAACCACTAATCTGCCTTTTCTCCAGCATGACACTACATTTTTAACCTCTCCCCATGCATAGCCTCTGGGCAATGGAGCTGTTCATCCTCAGGTTGCATAACTGCAAACATTGTAGCAATGTACGGTGCTGGGCTGGGCCCGAATAAGTGTCTTTATAGGGTTGATACCAAGAGGAGGAATGACTGGGCCAGGTTTGTGAGCTGAAATGACCTACAAAATGCCTGCATGGATGTGCATGGCCACAGGCAGGACAGGAGGGCCCTGGGCGGCAGGCCAGTCTTTGCCAGCAAGACTCCTGCTGTTTTAGCTTGCATTTTTCTAACTACTCATATGTTTATCAGCCATTGAGTTCCCTCTTCCCCCAACTGCTGCTCCCCTTGCCCATCTTCCCAACAGGCTGTGTCTGTGAACCTTCTGTATTCTTCCCTAGAGGGGGGCTCGCCCTCCCTTTCCCTCTCAGGCTCACAGGTTCCCTTCACAAGCCAGGACAAGACAGGGAGCGGTGAGAAGCCAGCATTGTGGTTTCTCCAGCAACAGGGAGGCAAACACAGGATGAAAGCTTAGGCCTGATGGGGCTCCCACTGCCCTTTAATGCCATGTCTTCTGAGCTTCCAAGGGGACACTACACAAATTAACACAGTCGCACCAAATCCCCCATTCTAAGGAGCCATGTACTACCACCACCCCAATTTTTAAGAGGAGATCGAGGCTGGGAGAAGTGAGGTGAGCTACGCAAGATCACAGAGCTGGAAATGGCAGAGCTGGGCCCTAAGCCAACTGACTCCACTGAGTGTCCCTAGCAAGCACCGAGGTGAGGGGTCCCGTCCCAAGTGCCACATGGGCAGGAGGAAATGAGAACCTGGACCAAACATGGAGCACCTGCTGTGGGTGGGAGTCCAAATTGGCTGACCCTTCATCTCCAATGGGAGATTCTAGGATTCCAGGACAGTAGAAGCTAAGGGGTCAAAATGGAAAAAACTGGGTAGAAGAGATTTTGGGGGGCCACGGTCCCAGGACAAACAGCAGCAGCACCTACCACCTACCACACACCAAACACCTACTGGGTGCTAAGCAGTATGACACTCCCTCATCCATGTCCTCACATGACGCCATATGGAAGATGCTATTCCCATTTTACAGGTGGGAAACTGAGACCGAGAGAGGTTAAAAATTGCCCACCCAAGAACACTGAGCCAGACATTAAACAGGTATTAATGATTTTAAGAGAGTAATTTAGCTGTAACTAATAAAACTGATAGAAATATATTCTAGAAACTCTTGGGTATACCAGGATAGTGTACATGAAGACCCAAAATAACGCAGCTTGTAGAAGCAAACTGAAAATATGTTTCCATCAACAGAAGAAAGGTAGTCATTGTGGTAGTCATTAAAATGGAACATAGCGGTGAAAATTAACTACCTTAGGCCTCAGGGATAAAAGTGGATGAATCTCAAAAACACTGAGTGGGGGCGCCTGGGTGACTCTGTC